ACACACACACACACACACACACACACACACACACACACCACACACACACACACACAAACAAACACACACCAGAATTTATTGAATTTATTCCGCCTTTATATATGAATGATTCGAATATTTTGCAAGTAATGATTTATTTACCTCCCGTGTTGGACGTAAACACTCTGTACTCTACGCTAACATTCACGTAAACATTAGCCACGAGCTCTCGAACGCGGCCCCTCACTTTTAATGAATGAAAATTACTACACACACACATTGCTTAAAATTTATAACCCACTTTCGATGTGTAAATGCGATTAGTTCTCATCGGAATAAATAGGGTCTATAAACTTCTCAAGGCCTATACACAATTATCCAATCCGTCCTCTTGAAATGAGACTACTTTTTGGGTAACTGGTTGATCGTATTAAATTGTAGTAATGGAGACCTAATAGCATTTCTAAAGCATTTAAATTAGTCGTATTCTGACCAGCCTATGTCTGTCCTGTACACAAGACCATTCCCCCTGCAAATTTGGGTGAGGCTAGCCCCTTGCGTCTGCGGGCCTCAAACATTGGATATACTAGCGGTCTTATTAATATTATTATTATCTTACCTTACAGGCGGTCTTATTATTGATCTAAATTATCAAAGAATTTTTGAGAAATTTAAATTTGAATTCTAAAATGTAGGAAACTATCGAATGGATCTGTGGGGCTGACATGCTTGGACGAGCATGACCTGAGGAGAAAGTGTTGAGAGCACATCTAAACAAAAATAAAAACTTCATTCTACCTCTGTAGCCAGGGAAATTGGGCAGGTCGCATTAACGGTGTTGTTTACCAAGCGGAAGAGGGAGGGAGAGTGGCTCCGGCCCATTAACTTCACTATGGTGACCTTAGATGTCGCTTCCTTCAGTTTTGTATTAATTCAGGTGGATATTGAGTAGCTCCTCGTCTCATTACAAGGAGGGCAGGGAGAAGGGAACTAACAAGGGGAAGCAGCACCTAGCTATGGTGCGACCATTTTGACTATATGGCACTTGGAAGGGGTCAGGATAAGGATTTGGGATGGGACGGGGGAAAAAGGGAATGGTGCCCAACCACTTTGGACGGTCGGGGGATTGAACGTCGACCTGCATGAAGCGAGACCGTCGCTCTACTCTCCAGTTCAAGTGGTTGGTACAGGGAGGCTAAGAGAGAGAAAATAAACACACACACACATGCACATACACACATACATACACACACACAAACACACAAACACACACACATACACACACACACACACACACACACACAACACACATACACACATACACACACACACACACACACACACACACACACATACACACACAACACAACACACACCACACACACACACACACACACACACACACACACACACACAGGGGCACCGGTGGCTGTGTGGATAGCACGCTGGACACGTAATCCTGTGGCCCGCGTTCGATTTCCGGCGCCAGCAAGAAACAAAAATTGGCAGAGTTTTTTTCACCCTGATGCCCCTGTTACCTAGCAGTAAATAGGTACCTGGGAGTTAGACAGTTGTTACGGGCTGCTTCTTGGAAGGGGTGGGGGAAATAGTTAGTAGTAACAGTTGATTGATTGACAGTTGAGAGACGGGCCGAAAGAGCAGAGTTCAACCCCCGCAATCACAGCTAGGTGAATACAACTAGGTGAATACGCACACACACACACACACACACACACCACACACACACACACACACACACACACACACACACACACACACAAAACTCCACCAAATGACAGACACCCAGGCAAGAGTATGACAACAACAACATGGCAGTTAACACTATAATTGAGAGGGCAGCCTCTGCTGACTGTAGAAATAGATCCCACCAATCACGGAAGGATAGACTGGGAGAACAAGGAACCGCATGGAGGTGAGGATATATGGAGAGCTAAACTATTAGAGGTGGTGACAAGAAACTTCTTAAGTCAGCATGTCAGGGAACCCACTAGAATGAGAGGAAACGATGAACCAGCGAGACTTGACCTAGTCTTCACTCTGAATGACTCCGACATAAGGAATATCGGTTTCGAGGCCCGGGTAGAAATGAGCGACCACAGTGCACTGACGTTTGAGTATCTGGTTGAAGAAGGGGTTAAGGAACTCGAGGAGGGGAACTTAATACAAAAGGCTGGCATTCCGAAAGGAAAACTATGAGGAGATAAAGAAATTTCTAACAGACATAACATGGGAGACAGAGTTCATAGGAAAGACGGCCCAAGACATGATGGACTACATCACGCACAAGTGTCAGGACGCAGCAGACAAGCTTGTCCCAGTCCAAAAGGAAAACGAAATGAAGATGAGAAACTCATGGTTTAATCAGAGATGTAGGCTAGCTAAACAGCAAAGTAAAACAGCGTGGAAAAACTATAGAAATACCAGGACAATTGAGAGAAAAGAAAGATACCAGAGTGCCAGGAATGAATATGTCAGATTGAGAAGAGAGGCAGAAGGGCAATATGAAAACGACATCGCAAGCAAGGCCAAGACCCAACCTAAATTATTGCACAGCCACATTAGGAGAAAAACAACAGTAAAGGAACAGGTTATGAAATTAAGGATAGGGGCGGACAGATTCACTACAAACGACAAGGAAGAGTGCGAGGAACTGAATATGAAATTCCAGGAGGTCTTCGCATTAGAGCAAGGGGACGTTCCAGAGATAAGTGAGGGAATAGCTAACCAGGAACCACTGGAAGAGTTTGAGATTACCAGTGGGGAAGTAAGGAAGTGTTTACTAGAGTTGGATGTGACAAAGGCTATAGGCCCAGATGGAATCTCCCCTTGGGTTCTAAAGGAAGGAGCAAGAGAACTGTGCCTACCACTCTCCATAGTGTATAACAAATCACTGGCAACAGGGGAACTGCCAGATATTTGGAAAGCAGCTAACATAGTCCCGATATACAAGAAAGGGGATAGACAGGAGGCACTGAACTACAGGCCAGTGTCCCTAACCTGCATACCATGCAAGCTGATGGAGAAGATTGTGCGAAAAAAACTAGTGGAGCATCTGGAGCGAAGGAACTTTGTAACACAGCATCAACATGGGTTCAGGGATGGCAGGCCCTACCTCACATGGTTACTTGAATTCTACGACCAGGCAACAAAAATAAGGCAAGAAAGAGAAAGGTGGACAGACTGCATATTTTTGGATTGTCAGAAAGCCTTTGATACAGTACCACACAAGAGGCTAGTGCGAAAGTTGGAGATGCAGGCTGGAGTGAAAGGGAAGGTACTCCGGTGGATAGAGGAGTACCTAAGCAACAGGAGACAACGAGTTTGTGTGAGGGGTGAGGTCTCAGATTGGCGAGACGTTACAAGTGGAGTCCCGCAGGGGTCAGTCCTCGGACCTATACTGTTTCTGGTATATGTAAATGATCTCCCAGAGGGTATAGATTCGTTCCTCTCAATGTTTGCCGACGATGCAAAAATTATGAGGAGGATTGAAACAGAGGATGATAGTAGGAGGCTACAAGATGACCTAGATAGACTGAGAGAATGGTCCAACAAATGGCTGTTGAAGTTCAACCCGAGTAAATGCAAAGTAATGAAACTAGGCAGTGGAAACAGGAGGCCAGACACAGGATACAGAATAGGAGATGAAGTACTTAATGAAACAGACAGAGAGAAAGATCTAGGAGTTGATATCACACCAAACCTGTCTCCTGAAGTCCACATAAAGAGAATAACGTCAGCGGCATATGCGAGGCTGGCTAACATCAGATCGGCGTTCAGGAACTTGTGTAAGGAATCATTCAGAATCTTGTACACCACATATGTAAGACCAATCCTGGAGTATGCGGCCCCAGCATGGAGCCCGTACCTTGTCAAGCACAAGATGAAGCTGGAAAAAGTCCAAAGGTATGCCACTAGACTAGTCCCAGAATTAAGAAGCATGAGTTACGAGGAAAGGCTGCGGGAAATGCACCTTACGACACTGGAAGACAGAAGAGTAAGGGGGGGACATGATCACAACCTACAAAATCCTCAGAGGAATCGACCGGGTAAACAAGGACAAACTATTCAACACTAGTGGGACGCGAACAAGGGGACACAGGTGGAAACTGAGTACCCACATGAGCCACAGGGACGTTAAAAGGAACTTTTTCAGTGTCAGAGTAGTTAACGGACGGAATGCATTAGACAGTGATGTGGTGGAGGCTGACTCCATACACAGTTTCAAATGTAGATATGACAGAGCCCAGTAGGCTCAGGAATCTATACATCAGTTGATTGACGGTTGAGAGGTGGAACCAAAGAGCCAGAACTAAACCTCCGCAAACACAACTAGGTGAGTATACACACACACACACACACACACACACACACACACACACACACACACACACACACACACACACACACACACACACACACACACCACACACACACACACACACACACACACACACACACCACACACACACACACACACACCACACACACACACACACACACACACACACACACCACACACACACAGGAAAGCCGAATTTTCCATGAAATATTATTTTTTCACAGTTTATTAATATTTCAATTGTCTTCTTAATGTTAACCAATTATGTTCATTGAAATAATACTGAGACTAACATGAAACTTTAACTATGAAACGCGTTTTTAAACGTTTTGAAATGTTATAATACAGACGAGATCTGCTAAATTATTCACAGTGCATTACAATACGCCTTTAACATTTTATACAACATATATTGAACTTTTTATTTATATACATTTATTTATCTAGTGAATCCCTACACTAACAGTATAAAAAAAATTGATAGCCTAATTAAGAAAATTAAAATATATATAAGTAGAAATTTGTGTAAACGAGGAAAATAATATTAATATTATGACTCTCAGTGTTACCAAAGTAATGAGATGATTATCTAATGAATGAGATGAATATCAAAGTAATGAGATGAATATCCAGTTAATGAGAACGATTATCTAATCAACAGGTAACTACAGCTGCCTGGTGGCTGAATTCCACATGCGTCGAGCCATTGGCTTCCACCTGGTACAGAGTTACCTCCCCACCATCCTCATCGTGGTTATCTCCTGGGTCTCCTTCTGGATGGATGTGGATTCTGTACCTGGGAGAACGACCCTGGGCGTCACCACTCTCCTTACCGTCTCCTCCAAGTCCTCAGGTGAGGTGGAAGTGGTGTTTTCAAGCTCCTTCATGTATAGGGAAGGGATGGGAGGACCTGCTGCATGGGTAACTGCTTCTCCTCCCATATCAACCTACCCTGGCTTTGCGCCCTGGTGAGGCCACTCCAAACCGAGAACTGCATAGTCTCCTGAGACTAATGGATGTCTACTACTACTACAAGTATAGGTGGGTACACGTCTTTAAGTCTTTCCCTGCCCCCTCAAGTCTATCTCAGTAAGGAAAAGTGTCAGTTGTAATACATATATTTCGGCGAAGATTGGTATCTTATCTAATAGTTTCCGCTCGTTGTCTCTAAGTGATTAAAGTGGTTTCATGGTTCTTGTGTCTGGAATTGGATCTCTCTCTTGGTTCCAGCGTAAGTAACAGGTGGTTCCGTGGTTCAGGACAAGGAGCAGGTTCCCACATAAATAAGAAAGGGGTTCGACCGGGTCCAGTGCAAGAAGCAGAGCGTCTCTCACTTCCATTATAAGACAGTTGGTGGTCCTTTGATTCTCATGTATGCGTTACATTTAGTATCGATTCTGATTAAACCAAAATATATATGTCTCTGGTTCTAGTATAAGGAGCACGTGTTTGGGTTCCTGGTTCTAGATTAAGGAGCATTTGGTTCCGTGGTGGAGTTAATCGAGAGAGAGAGAGAGAGAGAGAGAGGAGAGAGAGAGAGAGAGAGAGAGGAGAGAGAGAGAGAGAGAGAGAGAGAGAGAGAGAGAGAGACAGACAGAGAGAAAGTCGATGCTATCAATAAAGATTTTCCCCAAGACACTTTGCATTGCAATTTTTTCAATGCTCCATATACCTAATTTATTAAATGTTAATGAAATATCGAAAGTACTCACCTTACTACCTTCTATTGAGTTACTATGATGAGTAAATCTTTTATGAAAGCGTAACAAATTTAATTTGTCATTACTCATTTGTACACATAACAACAATAAACAATAGAGGGTGTTCAAACAGTCAATACAGTTCAATAAAGCGTGTTAAATATGTAAAAGAATAACGTGACGAATTCGATAGATAAACAATTAAATAAAAGAAGATAGAGTATAATATATATATATATATATATATATATATATATATATATATATATATATCAGCACTTAGATCAGGGCGACGTTGAAGCACCATAAGCACCAACATAATCTTCTTTCAAGCTGCTCTTAAGCTTATTCATTGCATTCTATAGAGCGTAAAGAGAATAAATATGAACAGATTAGAGAGAGAGAGAGAGAGAGAGAGAGAGATGAGAGAGAGAGAGAGAGAGAGAGAGAGAGAGAGAGAGAGAGAGAGAGAGGAGAGAGAGAAGGAGAGAGAGATAGAGAAGGAAGTAAA